GATTTGGTTCCTTCCTCATCAAAACTGGGGGATGGCTACCTCCAGGCACTAAATTGGCTGTCCCTCAAAGCTGCTTTCTCCTGGTTACAAACAAAACACAAGCCCAGTTCTTCTCAGCTGTTAGGCACCTTCCCAAACCCTATGATTTCATTGGGCGGAGAAATTAATTTGGAGCCCAGGAGAGCGGGAGGGGATTGTTAAACCCTGATCCCACCTAATCTTAAAAATTGCCTCGGATACACTTTAACCAAATCGAATTCTCTCCTTCCAACATACTTTGCATTCTGCAAAATCCCTCGGTCTTGAATTCCTGCCATCCAGTCTACTCAGGTCTTCTCCGAAGAATTTGCGGGAACATCTGGAGGGGAAGGGCGGGGAGAGGATTGCACCCAGTCTGTGAGCTCCCTATTGCTGGCAAAAGACTAGGTCTCAGCAAAATTAGTTCACTGGAGGGGCCTCATAAAGTATAGTCTAGATGGGGGGAAAATCCATATTTTTATTGGTTTTGCATATTCAGTATAATAATTTGCTTTTTTTAAAGGGCGTAGTTATTTGCAACGTGGTACAAATGAGGCCAAGGACTTGGGTCTGAACCAGAACCCAGCAGTACCAGACTCCCCCCAGCTCTCTCCCTAACGTGCACACACAGGCACACACAATGCACTCCTCACCTTGGCCAGCTGTGGCGCCAAAGCTGTCCTGGCTCCCAGACGCCAGGCAGCTGCGCAGGAGGGCTGGAGGGGGGAGTGAGTGTGTGTTGGGTGGTGGTGGTGGGGGTTCTGCAGTACACTGCCTGCAGCCCCCACAACCACCTGCCAAGCAGCCCACCCCCTCCCTCGCGCCTGGCCATCCAGTTGGGGAGGAATAGGCAGGTTAGTAGCTCAGGGCTTAAAATGTTGCTAGTTGGCACACTGCTCTGTGGCTTGGGGAACAAGAAGAGATTCTTGGGCTCCCAGGGGCCTTCGGCCAATCTTGTGTTTCCTGAAAGGTCTGCGCAACAAGAAGTTAAGTGGGCTTCGTCCAGATTCTGCGGGGAAAGAATCATGGATCCCTTATGGAGTGGGAGTATGCTCTATGCATCCCTCTTTGGAAAGTCCGCAGATCCAGGGCTCCAGCAAATTCCTGAGTGGAGTGGTAACCATGGATTTTCACACTTTGGACAACTGAGTCTCCCCGGAGTTCCCTGGCGCTGGCCCTGTGCAGCCCAGGCCTGAATCAGCGTCTAGGCTACTTAGGAGCTATTCCCACTTAACTCAGCTCTGGCAACACCATCTTCCTTTGCATGGAGTGGAAGGGTAGTGGGTGGGTCAGTCTCCAAGGGCAGAATCTCTGAGGGGATTCTCCCTACAGGCAAGACACAACCACAGCCAAACAGTAAAATTTAAAATTTAAAACACACAGATACACTGAACCAAGGTGTCTGCACTATATGCTGAGTTACTTGCTTATTCGATGCCTGGGGATGAATGGTTAGTCCATAGCTTGGAGCTGAGCAAAGTGCTTGGCAATAGAAAGATGGTAATCTGACTCTAGGGTCCCTTAATCCCTTCCCAGTACCCCCTTTTTGCAACATCACTCCCCAGGGGCTAAGGCACCTCTACTACAGCAGGGCACTCCTTCAAATAACACTGCAATTCACCGATGGGTGTCTCTGGTCAAAGATTTGCCAATGAGGGTGGGGGGATTTCAGTGCTTTTAATGAGATGTTTGGGAGACTGGCAGAGCCTTGAGACTCTTATGTGGGCAGCCACCTGTTTCCATTGATGCTCAAGGCTGGGACTTCCTGGGACCCCCCTGTGTGGCAAAGCTAAGGTAAGCAAATCCTAATCAGTTCAAAAGATCAGCCTCGAAAATTAGTCAGTCATCAACAACAACAAATTAGTCAGTGCAAAGACAGGATTCTGGGGCCCCCATCCTCCCTGCACTGGGATTACATAATTTATAATCAGGATGGTAATCAAGAACATGTACAAGGTAAAACAAGTGAGCAGAGAATATCACTCTACCTACTGGCAACCCACACCTTGGTGTTCCTATCAGATACATAATCCTGAAACTGGTGGACATCAGATGTGTTGTGAACCAGACCCACAATCACAATCATAATTGTAGCAGTTATAATTAATATACTTACTGAGTAAGGTACCTAGGAACACAGGGACATGAACTAATGAGTGATTCCAATAGAGTGAGCTTGACCAAGGTGACACTTGGAGGAGGTGACTTTTGAACAGGTTTCAGAGGAAGGGAAAGACCAAGATGTGGGGATGGAGTGGGGGGACTTTGACCAGGGGGGAAATACAGAGGAAGGAGAAGCTGGCTGTATTTGAAAGGGTGTATACAGCAAATAATTGGGTGCTTCTAGAGCTGAGCATCCTGGTCCACACGAATCTGGAGTGGAGGTGGGGCACTGCGGAGAAGGAGGGCTGCAGCAGTCCTGCAGGGAGGCTGCCAGACTGAGGGGGGCAGGCAATGCCAATGACGGGATTTCAGACTCTCATTGCTGTCGTCATAGGGGAGGTTGTTGTTATTCAAACTGGAATATGCCGGGCACCAAGTAGACAGGCTAGTGAGAGACATTGGGGTTGTGACACTAGTTGGCAAGAAAGCTTTTAGTTCTGGAGAGCCATCAGGTGTGCCCTATTTTAAAAAATCAATTCCATGAAAGTTACCTATATTTATTCATACACACACTCCCCATAGCCTGTTTTATTAGAAAGGAAGCAATTCTGAGATGTTGCCTCTTGTTTATTCAACAAGTATTGACTGCTCACTAGGTATCAAACACTGATAAGCACTGTTTTCAAGTACCTGCTGCTTTATTTAAGTACTTGAGGGTTTTTTATATGTTAATTTACTAGACATATTCAGAATCAGATGATCCTCTGTTTACAAGAACATCTAAGACAGGTCCCAAATAGTACCATAATAAGAACAGGGCTCTACTTCTTTCCAAAATAAAACAACAACCAGGAAAGTGTCCTAAGCAGACACATGAGTTGCCTTTTAGGAGACCGGGCCACACCTTTAGAGAAAAGGTCTGTCTTGCTCTAAGTAGAGGTGACTTTTAAGTCAAATTAACACTAAAGATAAATGGAGGGATGATTCTTCACTTTTCAATAGAATTCACCCCCAGCGTTCCTTAAAATGGTCCATTCCCCAAGTGCAACTAGAAATGATTTCATTTACACAAGTATGGTCTTTATAGTGTAAAATAAGGGGTGACATGGGGGAGGAGGAGGGGACAGAGAATAGATATTCAACCTAGTGAGGGGAGAGTTTTCTTAGGAATTTTACCCAAAGCAAATCCTAACTAGAGGCAAGGCCCCGGTGGAGCTCTAGGATCTTTGCCTGGGTTTCTCAGCTGACTGGATTTTTAATTCAGGTTCTAAAGCAGGGGGAAAAAATAGATTTTCAAATGACACCATGTGGTTTGCTGAGTCACTTTTCTGACCTGGTTCCTGTGCTTTTAAGAGTTAGAGTGATATTTGCAAAGGAGACCCAAAGGCTGTGAATAGGATCAAAAGCCATGTGGGGAAGAAGCAGGCGAGTGATAGAAAAAAAAATCAGAAAGACCATGCACACATACACTCCCCCAATTAAGTCTCTAAGGTTACATGTGAGGTGTAGAGGTACTTTCATGTGTCACAAAGATAACCTTGGCATATCTAGATGTTTCCCTTACTCTCTTTTGCCAATTTGGGGCAGAGATGGTATGAGTGACAAAGGAGGAAGGCAGACAGGAATGAGAGGTGATATTGGTAAGTTTAGCTCAAAGTCCCTCCGTGAAACCAACTGAAAGATTCACTGAGTAGTATCTATTATTGAATAGACGTAGGGACCCTGGTTTAGATAATCATTTCGATCCCCTCAAAATCCAGAGGAAGGATTAACTAACCTTCAAGGTAAACAGGTGAAATAAGTCCTGCTCCTCTATCCGCTCCACTTGTAGTCTGGTTTCTCCCAGGATTGCTCATCCTGTTTACCATCAGTCTGCTTTCCCATTGCATCCCAAATAGCCCTTTCACACAAAGGGCCCTGATGTCACAGATCTCTCTAGTGGTCCTTTCTGTTTTCCCGTGGAGGCTGGACTTAGGCACCACTGGAGGGGAGCCTCATTTCCCAACTCTCCTTATCTCTCCTCCCCGGGTGCAATAGGGTGCAGCGTGGGTGCCTATAAATGCTCATGCCACTTCTACATTTCAATGTAAAGTAGTCTTAGACTAATATCCTATTAGAAATGACCCTAATGAGTCATGCCCTCACTTTCAAGGCTGACGTCAGGGGAGACCGCCAGCCCCTCCCACCTCCCTTGGAGCCTTGCAGGGACTACACTGGGGAAGACAAGGGGATGTCTGCTGGGGGCTGAAGGGTCAGCAACCACCCATCCCTCTCACCACCACCAGACCTCTTGAATCCCAACAGTTTCCCCCTCCCTCCCTCTTTCCTCAACCCCTCTCTCCCCTCCTTCCTAGTGGTGCAGTCTAGGGGGCTTCACTGGGCAGCAGCTTCCTGAGGCTACAGCGAGGCCTCCCCAATGACGGGATCCAGTGAACAGACCCAAGCGGCCCCTTTTAGGCCCATAAATGACAGTCAAGCCACTGGGTGGGCGACCCCATCAGAAGGCTCCCCACTGCTTCATCCTCACTAGAGAGCTAGATTCTCATAGGATAACTCATGCCTGGTATTTCCTGTTGAGAGCCCCTCCCCAGGTCAGAGAAATGGAGAATATGGAGCAGTGCTGCAGTGCTCCAGTGCTCAATTCCTTTACAAAAATTAAATTGAAAAGCTAGTCTAGATATCATTTTTCTATCTGACTTAATAAGCCTGTTTTCGAAAAAAATATTGGTTTGTGTGATCATGTCTGATAAGCACTGAGTACGAGAATGGGTTTATCATTTATATTTATGTCACCCTCACATAAGCTTATACACGTATAAGTTATAATCCTCTCCATCTATCTCCCCTGATACATATCTTTGTGGACTAATGGCCTCCAAACACTTACTTTATTACACACATTTGTTATGTGACAAATCTTGCCAACACACTGTTTTAAAGTTTATGAGGTAGCAAATGTCAGAGATAAATGAAAAAAAAATCCCAGTTCCTAGCTTGGTTCTGATATTTACACTGAAAATGAAATTTCATATCTCCAGCTTATGAAAAAAGCCCTTCTTAGTTACACATTGGCTTTAAAATATTTTCATTTAATACTTCCACATGCACACTTCCCATTTATCATATGCCTTATAATTTAGACTAAAACACACTCTACTAAGTGGGTATGACACATCTTTTATAGAGTGCTGAAAGCATAAAAGTTTGCTCTTGTTATGTAACTGGTAAGATTTCTTCTGTGTTTTTTTTTTAAATTTTCAAACTGGAAATATATATATTTTTATTGTAAATGTGGCACCTGATGATTGCCAAAAAAACTAAGCTCCATTTCTTCCCCACAATTCCACTCCCCAGAGATAACCCCAGTTACCACTTGGAATAGGAAAGGAAAACCTTACTAGTAATTTTTTCTTTGTGTCCATCTCTTCTCCAGCCAAAATGAACAATTTTAGTTTCTCTGTGTACTTTCAGGAGCCTTCAATCGGAGGAAACGAAACTCCATCTATGTCACCGTGACTTTGCTGATTGTGTCCGTGTTAATTCTCACGGTGGGCCTTGCTGCAACCACCAGGACCCAGAATGTGACTGTTGGGGGTTATTATCCAGGAGTTATTGTAAGTATAAAAGACATAGTTGGGTCTCAGTAGCTTGCTGGCTACAGACATTTGGGTTCTACTTCAATAGTTTTCAATTCGGTTTGAGTTTCTAATGTTTTGCTCAGTTTTCCTCCTTTATATATCTCTATATGAATATATACAAAGACAACTCTGAGCTCATTAAGAAGAACACTGGACTAAGCATCTCCATCCCTAAGTAGCAGTGTGATTCTGAGCATTTCTCTCTGGGCATCTACTTTTCAATATATAATAAAAGTCTCCTGATCTTACCTGAAATCTAAGGTCCCTGGCAGCTTGACATTCTGTGATCCAAAGTGATCCTGCACTCCTATCAGGAAAAATGTGTAGAATATTTATTCCTAAAATATGTATATTTGTTTTTTATAAATTATGTACATGTTTATAAAATATACAAAGTAGACATTCAAAATTTAGATACAGTGAAATAAACAGTAATTTTAACATCTTTATATTAACACTAACCAAATTACAAAGAATGATATGCACATAACATGAAGTCTGTCATTTAAGATAGTGGCTATAAATCCTTATTCAAATAATCCACTAGATAATTTTGAATATTTTTGTCTGACTTCTTACCAGATGATTAGATTGCCATTGCATCATTGACCCGGTGCATGGATTCATGCACATTGAAAGGAAATTAATTAGAAGGTGGCTGATGGGGTAGAACTTGGTGGGGCCAGACACGCCCTGGAGCCAAACTCCTGGGGTCCCTCCCCAGCGTCTGTGGAGCGAGTGGGATCCCTCTGGCAGGTGGGGTCCATTGGCCTGGCCTGCAGAGATTGGGCCAAAATCGGCTCTCCAACATCCCCCAAGCAGTCCCAGAGTACAAGAGGGCACTCTGCAAAGTTGTGGCTGATGGGGTAGAACTTGGTGGGGCCAGACACGCCCTGGAGCCAAACTCCTGGGGTCCCTCCCCAGCGTCTGTGGAGCGAGTGGGATCCCTCTGGCAGGTGGGGTCCATTGGCCTGGCCTGCAGAGATTGGGCCAAAATCGGCTCTCCAACATCCCCCAAGCAGTCCCAGAGTACAAGAGGGCACTCTGCAAAGTTTTGCTCTGGGAGGGATATGGGAAGTTGGCCAGCCGGGAGGAACCCTGGGAGGGCTCCAGGGTGTGTCTGGTCTGTCTCACTCAGTCCGGATTGGCCGGACACCAGCAGCAAGCTAACCTACCAGTCAGAGCATCTGCCCCCTGGTGGTCAGTGCATGTCATAGCGAGCAGTTGAGAA